TGAAGCACATATAGTTGCATAGTGGGTCGATAAAAGTGAATATTGAAATTTATTCGTAGTATCCAAAGTAGCTTGATCAGATGTAAGGAAATAATCCAAAAGACACGAACTGTTATAGCACTTGGTAGCATATTATGTGGTGAAGCCATATTTCTTCAATTATATAAAGAGCACATTCTCAACGCTTTTACCGGATCATATAAATCATCATTAAAGTACTCCACTGCAATTATGTTATTGTGTCTCTCAAAAATATCACCAATCTTCGATTCAACGATAAATAATCAACACCCACCGCTGCCATTGCGTTCCTATTCATCTCAATAGCAACCATTTCACATTCTCTACAATGTAAGCCTATCGGTATAATTTTATGTTTAATATCCAATGCGAAGGTTCCTACTAACCCACTACGTTTCGACAAAAAACATAGCCACGAATGTCAACTGCCCCATCCGGCACCTCCAAGTGCCAAGTCTTAGTTCCTGCAAAGATGGAATCTTCTATAAAATTTACAAATCTATTGAACTTTACTGAGTATACCAGAGGTTTTATGCTTTGAACATTGCAGTGAGCAATTTTCAAGTTAGACGCCAAATGCGCATTAGCATGCCTTAGATACATATTAGCGTCTCTTCCAGCGCCGACAACCGAATCGAAAGTTAATGGATGACACTTTTGTGTTATAGATTGAAGTCACATTAACAAAGCAAAGTTTACAACTAATCGAAGTAGCATTAGTCTTCGATACACTTATTCTATAGAAAGAAGACCAGTGTTACATACATATTACAGAGAATCAAGAAGTCAGTGATATTTTTGGCTCAGCATTCGACACATTTCTGCAGATTAACCCCACAACCTAAAGCGCGCTATCAATGACTTTGCTTATGTAATGTAATTCTTTTCAATTTGGCATCTATATTCTGGTCGATCTCATGAGTTGCTACTTGCAGTTGGGCAGCCAAATCTTTTTGTCTTTTTATCGCTGTTGATATTGATGATGATTATTGAGATTTTATCTATTTATCACTATTGATGCCTACTTTAAATTAAATCAAATAATTATTGCTAACCAACATACAGAGCTCTAGCGGTCCGTTGCCTGCACTTTCTACTATTATCACTACCATTGTCGAGCGTAGTATAATTATTTTTTTCTCCTTTCTCTTCTTTTCTTTGTCAGCGGATAATTTTAGTTTATTTGCATTTCACTGGCTTATGGTTTTACCGCGAAACATTTAAATTTAGTACAATTTCTTCTTTGTGTTAAATTTTGGTACTATACTTTTAACAAATTCTTTTATACCGCGAACAGATTGTACCTCCCTTGCCTATCGTTGCCAATACACATAGATCGCAATTTTGGTGTTAAAAGATGTGTGAATAAGATTTATTTTGTTCATTCTTGCTTAGTAACCTGTTTTCAATGAATTCAATAATTTTATATAGCCACGTTTAGAACCTTATATCCTTTTTTGATAGCAAAAAATTGGTTATAATTTTTTCCTACTGATTTATCGTAGTTTTAAAGCATTTAAAAATTATTTTGAGTCAATGGCGCTTACACATACCAAAATGATATTATCCTCTGAAAAGTGCAAATTTCACTCCAAAAGATGAACTAGAATATCTAAATAATTCAAAACTCTATTTAAATTTTCTTGTAGCAAACCATAGTTATTGTTAAAACATATTCAATCTTTAGTCGCTCAAATGCGCATGCTGGTAAGGTGAACGCGTGCGGAAAAAGACGTTACAAAAGAAACTTTTTTTACACTGAAATTTCTGACAAGAAGAAAATCTATATTTTATTTTTGTTCAGATTTGAAGAGTTTGCAATGTCAACTACTGTTTTTCTTTCCAGTCATTCTGTTCACGCAATATGTGCACTTATTTCATTTTTGTTCGTTGAACTCATAATCGATATTTTCTAGCTCCTGGATTTTCCATTATCAATCTCTTTTTTTTATAGTATCTTATATAAACCGCATTCCAGAAAAGTGCTTCGATTTTGAGTACATATGTGAGGTAACAAGAATATTAAATAGTATTTTTTGGATTATATTTTGGAAATCATACGTTTTTCTATATATACCTACTTTAGGCGTGGATGTTAAGCATCAATTTAATGTTTTTTTTTTCAAAAGAAGTCATACCTAATACACCACAATATTAAGTAGTACTATCGAAAGAAAGTATTATCTTTCGGCTCTACGCCGCAATGTAATTTATTTCGTTGCAGAGTAAAAAACATACATAGCATTACTTGATAGCCACAGGCAATTAAAAAATGCCACGACGTTTGAAAATCTAACGATATCGGTCAGGAAAACTACTGCCTGCCAGCGAATATTAAGCTGAATGCGAATCGCGTTCTTACTAGAAAATATTGTGAACTGCTTCAAAGCACCGAAACTAATGCTCGAACATGATACCAACAGTAGCTGGCACAATTGGGCAAACAAACGGCAACAACTTGCAAAAATTACAATAACGTGCTACTTCTGACTCCGTCCATTAAAGATGCTAAACTTCAGGTTTATTTTAAAACTAAAAGAAAGAGAAAAACGAAATTAATGCACACACTTAAGGGGCTTAAAATCGTTTCACGATATCGGCTTCATTAGAAGATTTTCAAACATCCTGTTCCATTGTAATATTTTACTAAAACTGTTCCAGCTGAAAATTCTTTTACATTACGTACACTGAAAAAAGCTTAGTGTGCAAAGCACAACTACTCCAATTTGGGCCTTATTTAACCATTCGTTTTTAAAAAAATTCTACATTGTGATTTGAAATTTAAACCCGAGATATGAGATTTGGCTTATAAAAATAAAAAATCGTAAACAAACTCACTAAGTACAAATAGTGATAAAGTTCGCAAGGTCATTGACAAAAAATTTGTTGTATGCAACGCTTGTTTTCTAATCACTAACAAGTTTTTGGTGGGATTATTTTTAATCTTTAAAGGAACGAATTTTTATATACATTTTCTGCTTTTCTATATGCTTGCAATAATCAACGTTTCTGTTCGATCATAAATTGAAACTGTCGATTCACATTGTTGATTCCTTTGATTCTGGCGCTTGACCGGACTAAAGCAAAAATCGCTTTCATGCCCCCTCTTACCAAAATACGTTAAAACCTTGCAAAAGCGTATGCATTCTATCATTTGGCGGCCAATACTTGGTTTAGAAACCGTGTGAGTTTCATAAATATTTTTGACAGTAAGTTGGTTTCGCGACGTGGGTCCAACGCTCTATTAACATAGGAATTTTAAAAATTGTAAGGATCTTGAAAGCAGATATAACTTTTAACCTATTTTTTCGACCGTTTTCGATTTACAGAAGTTGTCGCTTTGAAATATCACTCCAATGTTTATATACGTTTACTAATCTATAGCATTGATGGGCTAATTTGAGGAGAGTAAACTTTAAAAAAACCTGCTTTAATTCCCTTGAATCAAGGAATCCATGTGAAACGAAAAAGCGTGAAGTTGACCGAGAAACAAAGTTTCGGTTATAGGTAAATACATTTTCTTTTTACGGTGTATGCCATTTCTGATTCGCGGAATGGCAAATTTGTGCGGATGTGTATAACACCCAGAAGGACTTAATATGGACACTTATTATAGAAACATTTTTTGAGTTAACGTATTATTAGGTATCCTTTTGTGCGTGTAACATATTTCGACGAAACTTTGCACGCTAACGCGTTTTGACCCATGAACACTTTTGAAAATGGTTCGGATTGGATAATTTTTACGACTACCGCAATGTGCCGGTCTGTTTGAAAAAAGTCTTCACATAGAAAACAAGTAAAAAAGTGTATAGTCGATCGCAGTCGGCCATTAAATAGCGTACGCCACTTCACCAATTACGATTCTTCATTTATTGCCTTGAAAAAGTACGAAAAATTATAGCCTATGTACATGTGAACGCGTAGGCTGAAAACACGAAATGATGAGATCCAAAACCAACAAAGTTAATTTTTTTGGCCACAGATCTTATTATTCTTAACCTATTATTGTTATTAAGCACGAAAAGTTAGATGGCTTCCTTTAGATGAGAAATCTCACACGGAATGAAAATAATAAAATAATATATATCTACGTGATCCAAATTTAGTACATTTAATTCTTATGTCAAATGACTATTAAACTAGGAATGGTTGTACGGGGTCGAAATAATTGAACTAGTCAATGCAAATTTTTCAAATCAGTTTAGCATGCCGAAATTCAATTACTCAGCGACTTTTGCTGATCTAAAAATTGTAGTTTTTTTCACATAATGATATTTGTAAAATAAGACGCTACGTTGGGAGTGATCGTAAAAGTTTTCCGATCTATTTCTAATGGCGTTGTTTTTCGAGCAAACCGACAATCTTACAAACATTTTTTGAATCAGTTTAATAATAAGAAAAGGCGAGTGTTACATACATTCAGACAAACTTAATATACTCCTTATCGCAAGTTGTGTAAGGTATAAAAACTAATATTTTAATACTTCTCGACAACAGTCAGTAGAAAACAGTGTTTTGGCATACAAAATAAATGTGAAAAATACGATTGAGATGGGATTATTGTTTGGGATTCCTTCCTTTTTAAATTTTATCCTACAAATTCATCCAGACTTGCATATAAATTCGCTCTAGTACATGTGGATTACATAGGTCCATTTATGTTGCTCCTTCCTTCGTCAAGATCAAATGTTGAGTATTTTATCATAAAAACTGTTTAGGAATAACAAGTTCTTGATATATTTTATCATTTTTGTCTCACGTCAGGTCAGGTTTCGGCGTCCCTCACATGTAAGTGTTTCTTCGAAAAGTAAGCATTTGCGTAACAACAAAGCATAATTTTTCAGTACATAATGACTAAAGTCAGTAAAACATTACACATATTAAGTAAAGTGGTCGGGTATCCAGGTTTTACTCGTTTTGTACTAAATTTTTCCACCTGCTAGTAAAACTTTTCTTTTTCTTTAACTACATTGCAGAGGCCTGGTGATCTAAATTCCTTGAGAAACACTGTAACAATTAAAGTCTTGGGATTGGATTTGGAGTGATAACAGTTCAGTGTATCCACATTCTTCCGGGCCATTGTGTGAACGTTCGTTAATAAGAACGCCTATATTTTAGACGTATTTCGCCTGTCAAATCCAGTGCAATACAAAACTAATCTGCTCTATACATATATATTCTTTTGTTTTATAAACGTATTGCGTATTGGATTACTCCTTGCCAAACATGGAAATTGAAACAATACGTCAGAATGGCCAAGCGCATGTCGAATCGCGCGAAAGTTCTGTGGAGCGTGAACTGAATGGCGAAATTGAAGCAGTTGAATTGAACGGTTGTTCTGGTTCGCCGCAAAGTGTGAACGGTCACACAATGAAGAAACCACATCATGTGGGCGACACACATGACGGACGCATTAAACGTAAGGCCAAGCATTCAACGCAACGTCAAAGCAGTCGTGGTGAAAGCAACGCGCTTACTAATGGTAGCGGTAGTGCTGGTATGTATTCCATTAACGGTCATAGCAATAACTATGTAGTCCCACATCGCCGTTGGAAAAATAGTCGACGTTCACGCAATGGTTATGGTCGTGGCCTTCCTAAGAAAGGTGGAGCCGGCGGTAAAGGTGTTTGGGGTTTACCCGGGTCTGAGGCATTTGAAGAATTATATGAGGACGAAAATGATCCCAACTATGATAGCGAGACCAATGATAAAAATATCATATTGAGTGAAGTCATTCCTGAAATCAGTCCTGAAGAATTCTTTAAATTAGCAGAGCCTATTGTTTTGGAGTATTATGAGCACGGCGACACTCACGAGGTTGCCGTTAATTTGGATGATATTCTAACAGGCTTGCTGCGTCCGAATGTAATTAGTGTTTTGATAGAAATAGCTATGGATCACAAGGATTCACAACGTGAAATGACATCTGTGTTAGTGTCCGATCTCTACGGTCGTGTTATAACCGGTAAAGATATTGAAAAGGGCTTCGAAATGCTTTTGGCTAATTTGCCCGATCTTATTTTGGATACTCCAGAAGCAGCTACTATTTTAGGTGAGATTTGCAATAAAAATCTAATAAAAAAATAAAAATAGTAATTCTTAATAAAATAGGTAACTTTCTCGCTCGCGCCGTGGCCGATGACTGCCTCCCACCCAAATTTGTAACCAAACCTTCAGAGCACGGCGAGTTAAGCGAACATGCTCTAGCTGCTATACGTCGGGCAGACACTTTATTGCACATGAAACAAGGCTGGGCACATCTGGACAATGTCTGGGGTATGGGAGGCCCATTGAGACCAGTTAAAACTATAACTAAACAGATGACCTTACTGCTGAAAGAGTATTTATCTTCGCGTGATATACAAGAAGCTCATCGTTGTTTGCGGGCCCTTGAAGTTCCACATTTTCATCATGAATTAGTGTATGAAACGGTTGTCATGACACTCGAATCTTTATCACAAACAACCGAAGAGGCCATGTGTGAGTTGTTGTCGTCTTTGGATAAAGCTTGCTTGGTATTGCCGGCCAGTATGGAACAGGTAAAGACAAAGATATTTTCTTGACAATCTCTATTCTATTCTCTTAGTCTCCGAGAAAATTTTTTATTTCAAAAACTTTTTTTTTTTAAAGTTTTCTTTTCTGTATTTATACGTTCTTTACACAACTAGGGCTTCCTACGTGTATTTGACGACATGGCCGATATTGTTTTGGATGTGCCACTTGCTTATATAATATTAGACCGTTTTATGGAACGTTGCAATCGAGCTGGTTTCATGACAGATAAGATTTTAAGCAACATGCCCTCCCGGTAAGTTGTTGCATTTTTATAATTTTTTCTTTGTTGTGTGAAAAGTTGTATGTTTATGCGATAAGACTGAATTATCTTGTTGAGATCTATTTCATTCCATTTACTGCTTGCGTCTTCTCCTCGTTTCCTCAGCTATTACAAGCTATTACAAGAGTGATAACACATTGCTATCTGACTGACAGGCTCTAAAACTATAAAATAATTAAACAGTTTTTTTCTTCTTATAGCATTTTAGCTGATAATAACTGTTCTATTGCTTTACGTGTTATACCATTAGGTTTTGTTATATATATATATATAAACGTAATATTTGTTACATACGACACAAATCGTAAAAAAGTTGTTCAAAGTATGAAGAAAGTCCTGTATTTACCATTTCTTCTGAAGTAATATGTAGAAAAAACCATGCTTTTCTTTACACGATTAGCGTAATAGCGGCATTGAAGTAGTTATAGTTGTTTAAGCGCACGCTTATGCGATCCGTTTTGCGAAGTTTTTACCTACCTTAGATATGAACATTTTGTTCTTGTGTTCGTTGCGTTAATATTTAAAATTAGTTGAACGTTTTCAGTGACACGCTGACAATTAGAAAACTGTATAAATTACTCATTGTAAACTCTTAAGGCATTTCATTTTAATATAAGCGAAATCCCTATAGTTGAACACGGCCCACTGTAAAGTACGCCACACCACTTTGCTTAATATATTTATTCATATAACGGGCTTTCAAAGCAAGACGTTATATGGGGAGTGGTCAAAAAATGATCCGATGCGAAGCACATTCGCATAACAAATTTCACTAAAAGATCTCAAAAAGTGCGACCTGCTGGTTGAACACAAAAAAAGCAGACGGACAGACCAGCTTAGAACGATCCGGGAAGTGATTCCAAACGAATCGGTGTAGATTGGTCCATCTCAAGTCCTTCGGGGCTTTAAATACAAACTTAATATACCGTTGTACCACAAGTGGTGCAGGATACAAAAACGTTAGTCAACATTTTTATACTTGATGAATATCAAAATACTCGTTGAATATTTTCCATCTTATGTACACTCTCAAAGTATATAAAGATAATGATATTTTCAATCAGTGTAAAATTTGCCATGACCAATTATTCGTTTGCAGATATTCGTAAACGATCGAAACTAATAGTTACCTCTTAAACATTTAGTTCTTAGTCATAGATTAAATGTAAAAATGAGCATGCATACATTAGCTGAAAGTTAAAAAATTAAGTGTAAAGGTGTAACAACTCATTGTAGTCAGATTAAAGCACTGCCTATACGGGAGAGAAAGTAGTTGTATGACAAAAATTTCTTATAATTAAAAATTTCTGTAATATCTCTTACAAGGAGTCAGCTTTTATGAGGTAATATGGCCTAATTTTTAGTATGTTATGATGAAAATTAGTCCAGAATATAATACCGTATAAATTTGTTGTAGTATATTTACACCACGTTCGTTTACTTTCCAGACTTTCTTGTATAAAAGTGAGGTGACCTTTAGATGGTGACAAAATCTAGTTATATATAAATAGCTAAACTAAGTATACTAAAAAGTGCAACAAAAGTTGGACCACATTTGTTCATGTTTCGCGCTCCAACCCAAACAAGAGTTTCAAAAAGCCCTTTTATCAGTTTTAATTTTTTACTATATTATAGTGTATTTTTTTATTATTTGTAAGTAAAAACTATTACTAAATACATTTTAATAAAACATTTACGATCTACTAACGAACAAGAAAAACAGCAATGAACATAAATACTGTTGGGCCCTTAACCCGCGTACATTTGTTGATAAGCTTGAAAAAAAGAAGTTTGCCTTTAGAAGTTTAACCTTTTTTATATATAAGCATATAAAGAATTGTATCATTACAATAACACATACGTTAATTAATATATTAGTCGAAACAACAAACGAGGCAACCACACCTGAAAAGCCGGCATATTTTCTTTATTCTTAGTTTTGCTTTTGGAATAAAGAACAAAATTTTCATGGCCAATAATATAAATTGGGCGCAACTGATTTTTTGTATTTTAAAATTAAAAATGTTTGTCGTATAGGCATGTGGGCGTTGTAGGCGTGTCCTTTGAAAAGTTTAGTTCAATTATAAATTCTTTTGCAAATTTTTAGATGATATTCTCATTTCCGCTAGCGGGAAACTTTTTACCACAGATACCTATACTGTTCAGCAGACGTACAGGTAGACTGACGAACAGACGTGCACGCCTACATGGATTCCAAATTTGAAACTGGCCAAAAATTTATATAAGGTATGTGATTTTTGCAGCTTGGTTCTGTTACAAAGGTATTGAAAAAAAAATTAAATTTTGATCTACTATAACATTGCGTAGACGTTAATTTTTTCATTCTTGTGCAAATACTGCTGCATCGTCCATAGAACGTGCGTTTAAGTTTTTCATTTTCAATACCAATCTACATGCAGAAACTTTCAATGTTTCAATTTGATGTTGATTTCGTTTCGTTTTTGCGGCCACAAGAATGTTTGCAATAGAGGGACGGACACGCTTAAATCAATTTAGAATTTGATGTTAATCAAGAATATATATACTTTGTGAGGTCTCTGATGCGTATTTCTGGGCGTTTTGACACAATAATTGTACCCCTCAACCTTTGGTGATGAGTATAATAATAAATACAAAAAACCAATAAATTATGCAAGCAATTAAAAACATTATAGAATAATCAGTTATAAGCGGCATTAAATGAATTTTCTCCGACATCAATTTGTCACTTACTTATAATATGTATTTTGTTGCGCTACACCAATAAATAGGTTCTTTTCATAACTTTCAGTTATGTAAATCGCTATGTTTAAAAAAAAAAAAGTGCTTTTAACAATATGTTCGAGAAAAATTTTGAGATATCACTTAATAATATGAAAACGAGGTAAATATATATTACTTCACCTTGGAAGCACCCATCAGGAGATCCTAATTTGTGTGAAAAAGTTTACTTTAAATACATTAGACCTATTACAATACATTCACCAGTAATCGTCGGAATTTTTTTTGATGTCGTTTGTTGTAATCATTGCTGTTTGGGCGTATGCTATGGTCGTATGAACTCGTCCAAAATCAACAAAACTTTCGCAAACTATTGTTTTCGATCAAGAAGAGTTTTCATAACTTTTTCAAGGTAATGTTGGGCTTAAATGGTATTTTTTTCCGTCAAAAACTGATATTTAATCGTCGCAATGAAATTGGGATTTTTCTGTGTTAAAATTATCGATTTTTGTAAGTTAATATTAACGAAGCTAGTACAAATAACACACCATAACTCCTAAACAAACAAATTAAATGGGTTCCGGCAGCGTAAAATACTGCCTCACTGCCCACGATAGTTTCGGTAAATAATTTCAATATATTGCAGATGTTGAGACGTATGTTGCGTTCACTGATTGATTGACAAATCTTGATAACTTCACGGACTAGTAGGAATTAAAAGCCGACAAGATGAGAACCTAATTTTACAGGAAGTAAATGAATATGTCGTGTCCTCATAATAATACCGCACATAAGATTTATGTTTGCAGTGCTTTGTTTTCATTTTTATTCTGCTTTAAATGTAACTACCGTGCATTTTCCACTGCAAACTCTGTTTGAAATAATTGTAGGCACTTATAATTTTTATTCTGCAACTTTTATGAATGTTATAAATATCGCAGTAATCAGTATATTCACGTTGAGCAATTCGAAAAGTTGCAATGAGAATTAAAGTGAGCCAGCGATCATGGGTGTTCGAATAACAAGCAGTACTTTTTTCTATTATATAGTTTTTATTTCTGAGTTTCTTTGAATTCACCAAAAATCAGTTTGATTTTTTTGACTTGGCTTCTAAATTTCGTATAGAACATTATCCTCGCCCTTAATAATGGTTTCCTTACCTTAAGGAAATCTTAGGTCAACGGTTTGACGAGTCTTCTCGTCTTTGCGCTGGTAAAAATATACAACTCTGTCTTTTATGTTTGTGTGCAAAACATACTATTCAAAGTAATCTACCAATTCTCACCGTCTTTATCGAAGGGATACCATTTAATTTTGTTTTTTCGGTAGTCGCACTGCAAACTTATAAATAAGATAATAAAATCGTTGCATCTGCTGTCAAAGTTTACACTATTATTCCCCCAATCTCAAGATCTTAATGATGTATTACCAAATGATTAGTAAACGAAAAAAGAGGTAAATTCTTTTTTCCAGTTTGCAATTATCCAGTAATTATATTATTATTTAAAGTTTGTTTCAATATAAATTTGAAAAGTCCGGTAAATTGTAAGTTAAATGTTTTTCGATGATTTTCATGTTTTTTTTGTTAGCGTTTATCTTAAACGTGTTTTGCTTTATGGCTGTTGTAAACGTGAAAAATTAAAGAAAGTTTTAGAAAACAGATTATTTTTAAAAACGACCGTTAAATGTGTCACTTCTGTTATACAAATTGTACAAAAGTACTACATAATCCTTTGCCGGTTTTCTACTTCATAAAAGGGAGTGAACAGAACAATAGGTTAATGTTATTTTATGTAGGTGGGGGTATTCTTTTCCATTTTCCTTCTGTTAAATATTATATTTATCATTTATTTGTCAAGGAACATTTTGCTATTTAAATACGTTTTTAGGGTTATGTTAAGTATAAACAAACTCTTAACAGAAGTCCAGTTCAAAAATATCGCATGTTTCCAGGTGGATGCGTATTACAATAGGTGAATATAAAAAAGCTTAAAAACAAGCCAATATTTTGTACTTTCGTTTTTGGGGCAGCTTCGATTTTTGTAGGCATCAATGCAAATAATTATCGCAGGTCTCTATTGAGATATTATAGGATGCTTTTTGAATATTTTTCCACAATTATTTTTTATTGCTAAACGAAACATGATGTTTTAGTCCTCCAAAAGCACTCAGTAGGGCTGACGGGAAAGTGACATCCAAGTTATGTTTCCGAAAAGGTTGCTTTTACCAATTTCCATATCAGTGGCTCATTC